CCGGCTCTAAGAGCCATTTCGTTCGCGAACGACCCATCACTACTATTTGTACAAGCCTCTAAACAGACAAATTATTGTCGTTACACACCATAATGGTGCAGTGGCAAGCAATGTCATCTCAGAGCAAGACAGTTCTGGGTTCAAAGGTAAAGCTACTGAGAAGGATGTGATACCCTCTTTTTTAAACTTAATGGAATGCTCTTTTCTACACTTCAACAACTTTAAAAAAGACAGCATTTTAAAACAAACATTTTTTTATAGAGCTGGAAAAGAAGCCAATGTCTTTTCACTGAGGTTTTGCTGGTGTTAAGAAAGACAATTAAAAACTACAGTATGTGGCATCAGTAGTACAAAACAAGGTCAAAACACAACAACAACAAATACAGACTTATATTGAATGGCTTCCACCTACAGTATGGGTACTTGATTAAGATAACTAAGGTTTATAGTGTAGAATATGAATGATGATGGAAGTAAAAAACAAACAAAGATGTCAGAAATGTAAGCATTGTTAAAAGATCTGTCTATCCACATTTTATCCCGTCTCTTATTTGTCCCTACTTGCATCCTACTTTCTTCCTTCCCTGAACCCTTTACTCTCCTCCCTCCTCCCTGGCCGTTGTAACACACGCCGAGTATGGCTTTGGAGGTGTGACAGATGTTTTAATGTGGCTGCGATTCCTTATCACCACTCAGCTGAAAGCTCCATTTGCCTTGGTCTGCTGTGATAGATGGTAGGCCGAGGCTGAGCGGAGATGCTATGCTAACGAATGGTAAAGGAGGCATTTCAGGGGCTGAGGAGGTGGAAGGAGGAGGGGGATGCGATGAAGATGACACACACTGCTGCAAATGGTAGATGTGGTCATTTTCAGTTTTTCATGTCCTGGGTGTGATGAGCTAGTGAGTAATTATGGGAAGGGAGTGTTGTGTATGCAATTACACTAAAATGAAACAGTGCTTGTCACGACTGGAAGCGCTGCTGAAGAAATGGAGAAATCAAGCGGAACGTACACGTTACAAATAAACTCGCAAATAAACAAACAAACCGACAGCGATTTTGATTAAACCTCGGTGTGTTTACAACCCGTTAAATCTGTGGGATTATTGAAAGTCAGTGGTATTACATCTTCTCGATGTTTCGAGGAAGTGAAGAGAAGAGAAAAACAAGAAAAGGGCAGGAGTGATCCATCAAGGTGGCATACCTCAACCTGTGAACCAGGGATGCGTTACAGAAACACAATGTAATTTCTCTAAAATGCTTCTTAAGCAAAATACACCCCTTCTTTAAAATACTGCAGATGGCTACGTCCTTTTACACTGAAAAAAAGGGACTGGCCAGCAATTGGATTTATGTAAGCATCTTGCGTGTATTTAACACAATTTCCTCGTGGTTTAAAGTTAAATGTAACTATATAGTGTAGAAACGACATAATATGCAGGGCGGGTAGATTAAATTGTTCATATCATGTTTGAGTGAAGTAAGTCAATGATATGATGTTAAATGCAATGTTAAATCTCACGACACTGCACGGGATTTCAGTCTCGCACGCTTTGGATCGTGGTTTGAGGAAGGCATCTATCTCAGTCAAGTCGAGCAGCATGCTTCTACTTTTTTTGGTATACCGAAAGAAGTAAATTGGGTGGTTGTTACATTAAAAAAGTCTACCTTGTAATTTTAACACAAAATTTTCATGTTTCTATCCTGAACATAGGATCTGTACGAAATTCAACAACTTAATTTGTTCTTGTTGAGATGACATGATACAATCTAGTAAG